AAAATTTAAGTCTTGCATGAATACAGGAATAAATTGTAAGTCAGTCGAATTGAAAACGGTTTCTCCTTTAAGTTTCAGCTGAACTTTTACTGAAATAACTTTTTTTTTCTCGTTTTCCTTTTTTTCTTTTTTTCTGAAAATCTAAAATGTGTAAAATAATGCCCTAAAATTTTTTTCTAAAATTAGACAGAAACTTTAAAAAACATAAACCAAGATAGCATGCATTTTCAAGCTGGCAAACAAACGAAAGCACCTGGTCTGACGAATTTATTGTTTACTGAATTTATTGTTTACAAATTTATTGTTTACAGAAAACTTTAATCAAAGGTTGGTTTTCATTGATTTCCCTGAATGCTGTTTAAAGTTTTCATCTTGAATTTTGTTTATTATCAAGGAAATTTGCCGAAGTTTTTTTAATTTCATTAAAAAGCAAGTTTTATGATTTTTTTAGTCGCCTAATCGTTTCGATGTTTTTGGCGGCTTAAAATTTTATACGTAAGATTTTATTAAAATACCAATTTTTGAAAAATACCAGGATTTTCTTAAAAATATATTAAAAGTCCCCCCCCCCCCAAAAGTCATCAAACTTTAGAGTACATCATTTTGGTTCATTATCTTTGTGTACATCATCATTTGTACATTTATGCAATTTCCTCTTCATTATCAAGTACTTTTAATTTTCGTCTACTTAAAGTCTTTTCTTTCTTTTTTTCCTTTTCTTAACAAACTTTTGATTATATCTTCGACAGAATTATACCCTTGAAAAAAGGTGGAAATTAGAGGCGTCGCTTAATTAGATTGGGGGAATTAGCGCTTCATAATCTCCAGAGCTACGATAATCTTTTCCTCAGAGCTGTAATGTTGGTAGAATGAAATTTTTGTCCCAATAATAAAATCACGTGACTGGTGGCTGATTCTAAGGTGGTTGTAAAGAAAACATTTGTTAAAAGAGGGGATATTTTTTCTTCATTGGAGATAACAAATATTAGAGAGATCGTCGGTGAGCTTTTAAATTTGGAAATAACTCGAAATGAGCTTTTTCGAAAATGACATAGCTCGAAACGCTCGAGCATTTACACAAATGGCCGATCGGTTACATAAATGGACAGAGCTCGAAATGCGTGTTTACGAAAATGGACATGACTCAAAATCAGGGCCGTCTTAGTAATACGCAGGGCCCCCGGGCACAGAAATGTTTTGGGACCTTATAACAGGACATACTGCTAAAAATCGAACTAAAAAACTTCACATACACAAAATAAACGATTCTTAACATATGCAATAATTTGAAAAAATTTCAATACATTTTGATTTAAATGTATTTAAATTTGTTTTTAGTAGACGTAAAAAAACTGAATTCACATAAAAACTTCATTGGAACGTAGAAGAATATATTTCGTTTTTTTTTTTTTTTTTTTTTTTTTTTTTTTTTTTTTTTTTTTTTTTTAAGTTTCCCTGACGATAAACTATTCAAATTATTGTTGNATTAATCAAATACATAGTTTGAAAAAGCAGCCTTGACACCAGGGCCGTCTTAATAATACGCAGGGCCCCCGGGCTCAGAAATGTTTTGGGACCTTATAACAGGACATACTGCTTAAAATCGAACTAAACAACTTCACATACACAAAATAAACGATTTTTAACATATGCAATAATTTGAAAAAATTTAAATACATTTTGATTTAAATATATTTAAATTTGCTTTTAGTAGACGTAAAATAACTGAATTCACATAAAAACTTCATTGGAACGTAGAAAAATAGATTTCGGTTTGTTTTTTATAAGTTTCCCTGAAGATAAACTATTCAAATCTTTGTAGTTTGCATGATAATCAATCACTATTTGTAGAAAGAAAAACAAATTACTTACTTTATACAATAGAATATATTTATTTAAAAAAAATATATAAGTCAATTTTGTTTATTTTTAGTTTTTTTTCAATTACAATTTATAAAAAGTGAGATCCTCAAGGGCCCCCTGAGTGCCTGGGGCCCTCGGGCACTGCCCGGTGATGCCCATGCGTAAAGACGGTACTGCTCAAAATGCCCGTTTTTTAAGATGGACACAGCTAGAAATGAGAGTTTACGAAAATAGTCATAGCTCGAAATACGTGGTTACGAAAATGAACATAGCTCAAAATGCTCTTTTACAGGTACAATGTTATAAAGCTATGAGTTTAGAATTTTGACGTCGTAATCAAAATCAGTAACGCAGCTAAGAAAAAGATGGGAGTGAAGTTTTAAATTCTTATCTTTTAATATGCATAAATTGTTATCTACGAGTTAAATACATATTTTTTTTATTTTTAATATTGGACAACCACGAATTTTAAACATAATTATTGTATAACTTTGAAAATTTAATATATATAATACATTACACAAAATAAAAACAAATAGAACACCGTAATAACTTGATATAGTAATCGGATTTAAACGGACAATGATGAAGTCCTAATGATTAAGGGTACTAATATTAAACAGAGTTTAAAAATGTAATAGATTATCGTAATTGATTACTTGTAATCATGATTGCAACCTAAAAGAGTTTTGATTAAAACTTTAATCGTGATTACACTGATGAATTATAATAACCAAGTACTTGTAACGTGATTACAACTACGCATAATTTTGATTACTTCTGTTGCCATGATTGCAAGTAATCTAAATACAAGTAATCATGATACATGTAATAATCATTACTTGCAGCAAGATTACAAGCAATCAAAATATTTGATTACAAGTAAATGCGATTGTATACTGCGTGTATCATACAATACATATTGTATAATGATAAATTTTATACGTATTTACATACAACATACGTAAGGATGTGTCCATGTGTAAACCAGGGCTCGAAAAAAACTCAGAAGTTTTATCCGTCCCCGAGGACGGCTTGTCCAATAATAATGTACCCGTCCTCCTTTGAAACTAACCCGTCGCTTCAAAATAAGTAAAAATATAATTTTCTCTTATTTATTACTAACATTTATATAAATTGCACAATGAATTAGTAGTTACTAGGATTACAAATACTAGGATAACATTGTACAGTAATAAAAGAAATACTAGGCTACTAATAGTAAAACCTAGTATTTCTTTAATGAAATAATTTATTTCTTTGATGAAATAATTTAACTAACAAAGGTCAAGTTATCTGTCAATTATCATGTCAATTTATCCGATGGTACTGCGTTTTTTAAATGAATCAAATACGACGTTTGCCAGTTCCACAATCAAGTCAATGATTTACAGAGGTTTCTGCACAGAAATCTAAAAGATGTTTTCCATTTAGGTAGATGTTCATAATTGCGGTTGACGCTTGTTGTTTAAGACCAGTACGCAATGTGTTTTTTTTTATGTTCATTGCTGAAAAGCCCCTTTCAACCGCTGCTGTACTCCCAGACAGAGAAAACATCAATTCCACCATGCGCAGTATGTTGCTGTATTTCGAGATTAGAGGGTCATTTTAGAAGTGAGGAGCTAGACTCTTGTAAGATAACAAAAATTGAAAATATATCACGAACATTAGCGGGAAAATGGCCGACCGCACGGACGTTGGATTCGAGAAATTTGTTGTCCGTGGGGTATTTTTGACCGCCGAGGACGGGCGGTTTTTCGAGCCCTGGTGTAAACATCAGTATTTGCCTAAAATGCATGTACGTATGTATACATCTAGTATATATGCACGCATGTATGAACAAACGTTTATCCTAAGATGTCAAAAATTCGTTTATCCAAAGCTAATTCTTTGCAAAAAATAACTTTTATTAAATATTTAGTATTTTTTATTTTATTTCATAAATAGTCGATGAACGAATTGACGAATAAAAATTTTTTTTGAAAATAATTGCAAAACTCGTTTATTCAAAGATAATTCCATGTAATTTTTTTACAATGAATAATTATTTGGTATTATTCAATTTAATAACCTTTGAAAATTCAAAATTCTTTCAAAAGTTAATATCAAAAATAATAATTATTTTGATTTTTGGTAAGGTTATACTTGTATTTCTAATAGTTTTCAAATCTTCAGAGTTAATATTATCAATTTTATTTATCCGCCTTTATTAGCACTTAAATCGAAATTATTGTTTTAATTATTCAGGGATTAAAATTTGTCCAACTATCGTTAAAACAGCACATTTTTATCAACATTAAAACAAATTTTAATCCCCGAATAATAAGTGGTGATTGAAAAATGGGCTACAGGTGGCGTAGACCAGAACTCTCTACCTATGATAACACTTGTGGAATACTAATAACATTGTGGAGAGCCGTAGGAGAAGGAAGTACGCTAGTTTCTTTCAACAACAGACTGATTATTATTGATAGTTTCTGTCAACACCAGACAGGTAGATTTCCAAACAGATTAAATAATTTTGAGATAGGAAACTATAAGGAACTGAAAACTACTATAAGCACGGTTCTAAAAGAAAGCGTTGTGGAAATTGAAAAAAAATATTTCTGACAAATAAATACGAACAATTTTAAGAAACGAGAAAATATCGTAGTTCATTCCTATACAACTGCGAAAAGGAGTAGAGGGAAAGGGGGAGGGTCGAGACCTGGTATTCGATATTAAGTTGAGATCTTTCCAGTGATTTTATATCTTTCAACCTCATTTTTGTAAACTCTCAACGAGCCAAGGACAGCGGATGAAAACAAATTCAAAATGTGCCAAACGAAGGTTAGAAAAGCCAAATGCTGAAAACCTAAAAATAACAAAAAGCGATAATGATGAAAACGATACTAATATTAGCAAATCAGAATGTTGTATGATCAGTACTGAATAGATTCTACTCGGTGATTGGCTATAAGAAGATAAGACAATTATTTCATTTTATTTTTGTGAAATGAAAAATTTCGGATATAATAATTTGAAAAATAAGCATAATTAAAATTTTTATTCATGTTTTGCAAATTTATTTAGTGTTTCAGTCAAATTTTACATTAATAAATGTAGTCCTAATATTTAAAGGAAACCATTTAACGCGATTGGCAACAGCGGATGCGCGGTTCTTCCACAACTTTTTTTAAAGTTTAAAGTTGCGAACACGAATTCTTTAGTTTCAATTGAGAACTCAGAAAATTTTGTTTTAGTTTTCTCTGAATGTTAAAAAGATGGCAGTTAAAAGAAAGTATACTGGAGATTGCTTAGATCAGTATGTATGTAGTGCTAATGAAGTTATTAAGTTGAAGTTTGTTCGAAATCCGGAAGATATTGAAGATGACAAAAATTCCTTTCCCCCTGAATATACCCATCAGTTTTTTGGTGACAGTGAAAATATATTTGGTTACATAGGTCTTCAAGTAAACTTTTTGTATTCAGCATGCCGTTTATTACCACTCTTTCAAATGTCCTACCGCGAAAAGGTAAAGTCTGCACACACTGGTGGCGTTGAAGCTGATGATGTATACAAGATAGTGACAGATAAACTAGAAATGGAAATTTCTCAAGACTTGGATGCCCTTACTAATGCTCTGCCAAAAGAAAGCAATTTTAGGCCATTTGGAGAGTTATTGAGTTCTTTTTCTGTTGAAAACGACGAAAAAGAAGAGTTCTATAAAATATATCGTGCAGATAATGAAACTCCTGGTTTTCTGGATTATCACCAACGCATGCAAACTCTTGTGTTATGGCTAATAGATGCGGCTTCGTACATTGATGAAGAGGATGAAAAGTGGGATTTTTTCGTTTTGCACCAACATTGCAAAGATGGTGATGATGAGTGCTATCCTTTTGTTGGTTATGCGACTGTTTATCGGTATTATGCTTATCCATGTAAACTTCGGCCTCGTATCAGTCAAATGTTAGTATTGCCGCAGTATCAAAAGCAAGGTTTAGGTACAAGGTTATTAGAAGCTATAAACAATTGTTACATCAAAGACTCGGATGTTATTGATATTACAGTCGAAGATCCATCTGAAGAGTTTGTGCGAATAAGAGATGTGATAGATTCAAAAAATTGTCAGACACTTCCTGCATTTTCGAAAGAAAATCTCCTTAAAGGTTTTAGCAAGGCTATGACGGAAGCTGCGAAAGATAATTTTAAAATCAACAAGAAACAAGCGCGTCGAGTGTACGAAATTTTGCGGCTTAAGAATACCAATTTAGATGATAAAAATGAATATAAAGCCTACCGATTGGCTGTTAAAAATCGCCTAAACATACCATTCCAGAGAGAAAAACTGGATATGGAGAAATTGCAAAAGACATTAACACCCGATGAGTTGAAAGCTGCTGTTGATCCTATTCCTCGAGAGCAACGAATAGAGCAGCTGGAACATATGTATACTGAACTAGAAGAGAAATATAAGCATGTAATTGATAGATTGAATGAGCTTGAATTGGGAAAGTAATGATGGTAGTTAACTTATGATTTTCATGTAAAATAAGTTAATAATTAACAAACTAATTATTAATATGCTTACTTGAATATTTCAAATTTATTAATCCATCATTTTACATGTGTAATTTTGAAAATTTCTGAAGTATACTCATGTAATTAAAAGAACGTTTGAATTTGATATGGTATAATAATGAGTGTTGCCAATATTTTTCGTGAAAAATAAGTCAATTGAAGTTATTTAATTAATCACAATTAGATTGCTTTATATAAAGTTTATTCTTTGTTTTAATCCATCATTTAACGTAATATTTCTGTGTTGTGTTGCTTTAAAAACTTCAGTTAGTGATTACAATTTTAAATCAACATGGTATTTGCTTTGAGAATATGTTTGTTTCTAATATCTAAAATTAATTTTGAATCGGAACTGCTGAGAAATTTGCCAAGTATGTAGTCAATGGAGGTTGTTCTAAATTCCTTTTTCTTTTGGATTACTAACTGGCATTTGAGTGCTAGCTTGTCAAACATTTTGATTTGACTGACAATTAAATTTTATAAATTGCAGCTGACACAACTGTTCTAATGATTTTGTTCATTTTCCAATTAGTTCTGTGTCTGATAGCTTGCAAAATTACAAATTCTTTCAAACAACTACCATATATATTTAAAAAAAAGATTAAACTGATTTTAACAATAATTTTTTTAAGAAGTAAATGTTTATTGGTTATTTGAAAATTGGTTAAATATTAACAAAATTTAATTACATTCATCTTGATTATTAATTTTAATGTAAGCAAAATGTAGTAATTTTTTTTAACTGCCATTATCGCTGATTATTTATGTTCGATTGGATTATCAAATCAACAATGTTAGTAAAATGTGTTAATAAATTTGGATGTGAATGAATGTTATCAATGTTCTCACTTGTTTTCGATGCATTATAAGTTACTCTGGATTGTGAAATTGCATGTTAGTGTTTTACATAAAGAAAATGTCTATAAGTTTCGATAAACAAAAGTCAAATTACTAAGACAAACATTAAAAAATTTTTAAACTATTCTTTAGCTTTTATTTTTGAAAGGCAGTTTCTAAATTATATAAATCTGTTGGTCTTTTTACCCATACAAATAATATGGATAACATAGATTGCTTAAAATATATCTGCAATATACTATTATTTTAATTTGCATTTGATAGTTTTCTTTTTTTAATTCTGACAAATAGTGTTCATTGACACGGTTGAGTGATTTGGAAAATGCCATTGTTCATTTTATCTCTTAAATATTTGGCTTGATGGTGATGGGTGGTTAGAACTCTGATTGTGTTGTCTAATCAGTTACGTTTGCCAAATTTATTTGCTGAATTGTTTGTTCTGAAATGAATGTTGCTATATAGTTGGTATTTTAACTTTTGAATCTAATGATAATTTAAATACCACAGTTGAAATATTGTAAAGAGAAAAATACTTTATTCAGTTAGTGTGTAAATTTTTTCATTGCATTGTAATAAGTTTCTATCCTTAGTATAGTATTCAAAAATATTTTCTAAGGAGTACCATCTGTATGTACCAAGTTGTTTAGTTTAAAACTTTTTGCAAATTGCTAATTGAACTTGTTGCAATAGATTAAACTGATATGGTAGTTACGAAAAAGTAGTGTGGGCAGTATTTTATACAAAACGCCTTATAATGTTATAATATAATAAAATATTTAATATATAATTAATAATTAAAATATAATAAAATAAAAAATTGTTTCTTAAAATTTTTTAAAACTTTCTATTCTAAGACTACCTTATTCAAAATTGCTTTTTCTTGTTTTGATAAGAAGGCAAGATAGGAAGATTTCTATATCTTGATTTGCAGCAGAATGATTACCAAATCTGTACACCTACTATGCAACGGCTACAAATAACCTTTTTTAAAAAAAAAATCACAGAAGGGATTTAACTCGAAGAGTATAATTTGTAGTCATTCTCCAGCATACGTTTACATATTTGTAAATTTTTTTTTTAAATTTGCAAGTTAAAATCCATTTAGCGATAGTAGTTGGTGTTACATATCAAGATACGGAAATATCCCCAACAAGATTAAAGAGAGATTGATGCTGTTAGCATTCTAATTATAAGCTTTGGCTGGCAGAGAAAGTTAAAAATCCCATGCTTACATTAAACTCTTCCTGTATAAATATCAAAATGTTTATTTATATATCTCAGAATCTCTTCTGTTAGAAAAACAGTGCATGAAAAATTTAATAAATCACTTTGTTTTTAATGCATTTCCACTTCATCTGGTTTGACCTTTTTGCACAAGTTCTGCAAAATAGGTTCTTAATTTTCAAACTGCGTTTAATTTTATCATTTTGCATTTAATTTGAGTTTGTGTGATTTAATCTGATGCTTTTACGTTTATTTAATTTTTTACAATATTTTTATACAGTTTTCATAAAATTTTTACAAAATGAAAAATTACCTTTTTTTTAATTAGCTAAAATTTTTCAATATTATTAGATTTTAAAATTAGTTCTGTTTATTTATTCTGTGCCTTCATTATGGAATTTTTTTTTCTAATGATTTATAATGTTAAGGAAATGTGTGATAATTTTTCAGACTACATTTTGCTTTTCTGAAGTTATTTTCTACAAATATCAAATTTATATTTATTTTATAGTAATAAGATTAAAAGGAAAACTCCTGAAATATGTATGCAGATATTGTAAATCTAGTAGATTGTCCATTTTTTTAAAATCTAATGAAGTGAACTTAAAGTCATGGCTATTTTTATAAAAATAAAAACATGTTTTCTAATCTGGCAGTTTTATTTTTCTGTTAAAATTTAAAATCTAAATGTCTTCCTTTTTAAAATCACTTTTTAAATTTCATTGTTTTTTCATTTCATTATAGTTTCAAATTTCATTATCTACCAATATTGTATATATTTTTATATTGTTTTATAAAGGGTATTTTTGGATTCACGGTTTAACAAGTTTGCTGCCAATCTGGTACCTGCATGGGATGCTGCAGGTACAGTACAGAACCCGTTATCCGGAAATCAGAAAACCGGAAAACCAAAAAACCGGAACGAAATTTGATAAATTTTCCCGCAATTTTTAAAAAAAAAATTTTTTTTCCTCATAAGATTTTAGGATTTTTCTTTCTTTTTTGAAAGATGTTTACCTTACCATCATTTCAGAAATAATCATTAGTGTATTACTTCATCTTTTTTTCTTATTTTTAAGATTATTTCCAAATATTATTCTTTTTTAGTTGGGTTTAACACTAAAAAAAAACGGCTTTTTGTAGCGATTCAGAAAACCGGAAAAATCAGTTATCCGGAATAGCGATGGTCCCGATCGTTCCGGATAATCGGTTCTC